ACAGCTCAGACGCATGTCTACGTTCGGACGAAGTTTCTCAGGACCTTTTGCTTAGTCGGTGTTGAATTGCCTTTAGTTTTTGTATTGATACCCCAGGATCTTTATGTTGCGTTGTTTGGATAGTAAGAAATATATATCCATGACTTTCTTGAGCTTTCGTTCAACTATGTGAAAAGGCATGCTTGCGATACCCACATAGACCACCAACCAAGAGTACTGCAAGGCATCTACAATGACCACATAGTCGAAATTTATGACCATGCCGCGAAACCGCAACAACCCCTTCTTCTAGACCCATGACGATGAAAGTGTGCTACAAGGCATACCAATAGGTCAACAGTGAACAGCCTGATTGACTATACACGCTTCCTTGCTCTGCTCGCCGATTACAAGAGAAGTAGAACATAATTATACTGCTGCTGCTATCCTGTACTCAGCTCCTCCACGAAGCTTCAGTATCCCTTACACAACGATATTCCTCTCTACTGCGCACGTTGGCAGGGAATAGTGGGGCGAAGTTATGCACAAGAATGCGCTCAAACTCTCTCACCTTGGCGACATGCATGTTTCATACGTGAAAAATAGAGGGTCGAACAAAGTAGGATGGGAATGGCTGAAAGGATGAAAAGGGCAGCAATACATCAAGGTTTGAGTCGTGCATGCGTGGGGCTGTTAGAGCTTTGCTTGATGGCTTGCATGTCGAACAATGTATCACGATAGACATGCACGCACACGTGGTCCCAGTTGATGTGCCTAAGCCATTTGTATATGTTTATTACTCATTCCTGCATCCCGTATTCCAGTCCATGTATTGTGCTGTTCAAATGATGGTGTGGGTCGATGGCGTTTCAGTCGCTTGTCGTATGTGGATATGAAATCGTTACGTGTTAAGGACAGGTGTCGAATCGAAGATTGCCGTGCCACATGTCGACGGTGCTGGTGGTAGAGAGGGCGAGTTTCTATCATCTGTTAGCAAAACGATCCAACGTGGGAAATACAGCAGTCGCGCCACGCGGGCTGGCTGAAGGGCGAGGGCAAGGTGACGTACAGTTGCAGTTGCAAGCTCCGGGAGCGCAGCCGCAGTCGGCGCAAGTGCATCCAGAGTTTCCGCAGCCGCCCTTCATGTTGATGATTGTTTGGAGAGGTTGAAAGTGTTGATTGTGTAGTTGAAAGAGTGGTGTCGTTCTGTTACTTTGATCGTTTGCTGGTGGGAGAGGAAGCAGGTGGAGGGGCAGAAGCGGGGCACGCCTTTTATGTCCCTGACTTCCAAGGTTCGGTGACATACCATTTCCGGAAGGGTAAGATGCGACACCGATAGCCGCACTTACCAATAGATCATGCGCTACGGTTCGGGCTCTTTTCCAAGTTCGCTATTTAGGCGGGGCCGGCACGTTACTTGGCGAATCATGGGTAGAAAGTGCTGTAGGTAGTGACTGTGGTGGCGACTCGAGCGGTTGGATGAGGTATTGGCGCAGCACGTAACCTCATTTGAGCAAGTTACGTGGGGAGCTAGTGTGAGCTTGCCGGGTGGGGCGTGATGGGCGCGTATGCCACCGGATGCGAACACGCTGTAGACACCCAGGGATGTATGATGTGACGTATGAGGTTCTTGAAGCAGAGGAATACCGTTACGCTGTTGTTGCTTTCGTAACAGAACTCCTGTCCCGGCGCGGATGCTGAGTTCAGTCTTCGGTTCACCGGAGATCTGCAATGATGGGATAGCTGTACTGTGAGGATCCAACGTAAGCAGCCAGCAAGATCAGTGGTGACTAAAGCTCTTACACAGCCTTCAGGTCTGCCTACACGGGTGTAGTAGACAGACTGAGACCTTTGTCGACGTTCAGATCACCCCTCTTTTCCCCATGTTGGCAAGATCGATCACTTCCTCTTCTACTTCGCTCTCAGCAGCATGCTTCCCTTTGGCGTTCTTGCTATTCTTCGTTCCACCTTTGCTGTTAGAGTTCCCTTTTTTCCCGTCCTTGATGCTACCCTCATCGTCCGTATCGTCTCCGAATAAGAAGCCTTTGCCCTTCATACGTCTCTTCTCGTCAGATGAGAAGGTGGAGTGGGCGGCACCAGAAGCAAAGTTGGAAGACGCTGAATCTTCACCAAGCATCCAAGAGAAATTGGAGGATGTAAGATGTGGCCGCGACGGTGGGGAGAGGGTCGAAGCAAGCTTGGACGGAGGTGATAATGTACGCGCGGGTGGTGAGGTCGGACGGGAAACGACAGGAGAAGGGTTCTTAGAAGCTGTTGTGGACGGGGTATTCGACGGAGACGTCGTGCTCAAAGAGATGGGTGGTACGGCAGTGGGTTGTTTCGGCGACACCGGGGATTGAGGAGGCGGAGAAGATAAGCTGATCGCAGCCTGTGCAGTAGAGGCCTGTTCCGTTGCTTCGTCGATAGGAAGCGGTATAGAAGAGTCTTCAAGATAAACTTGCACGAATTGCACTTTCGCGATGGCAAGGCTGAGTGCCTCCATAGCTTCTTTTCCTTTCTCATCGCCTTCTCTCCCCTTTTGTGCTTCGTCACGCTCTCTGTGGTACTCCCAGAGGTCACCGACGGCAACTTCTAACATTTTAGCGAGACTCTTATTCCTGCGATCCAGCTCTTCCATCTTCTTGAATGTGTTCACCGAGTGTACCCTTTCGAGACTTGGTCGTCCATTGGCGCCAGAGGTGCCTAGTTGGCCAGGCTTCCGGAACTCCCTCCCTCCGGAACGCGGTGTCGACTGGCCAGAGGTTGCTCCTGACTGATAAGCCTCAACGTTCTTCCTTACTTCGCCCACTGCATCTCGCAGAGCCTTCCCCACACCCCACTGCGATCCGCGATCCAGTACATTCTTCGCCGCACCCTGTATCAAGGCCTCGAAACCAGCGCCCTGTTGTGTCACAAAGCTTCTTGGCGATCCGATGCTCTGTCGCGTTCGGCTCGAGACGAATGACGGAGATGGCGATGGTTCGCGGACAGGTGGTTTCGATACAGGCTCGATAATGGGCGCTTGCTTCCCATATCGTGTAATAATCTCTGCCCCGCCGAGTGGAGTAAGGTGATCACGGAGATATAGCGCGTCTTTGATGAATGTGTACGGCGGTGCAGCGGGTTCAGGGTATCGCAAAAGGAGTGCAAAAGCTTCATTCGTATCAGCTGCCATCAACTCCCACCGTATGCGCAGCAGCATGGCTAATGAGATCATATCGACAAGCTCTAGCGTGGAGTCTATGGCGAACAGGGCGTCCCACACGTCGAAGACAGCGTCGAGTGAGAACTCCCGTCCGAAAAGAAGGCGTATCCAGCGTCTAGGCATATTAGAGAGGGCTGGCTCAAGTACGCACAGTGACTCACAGGAGGAAAATCTGGGGCACAATCTCAAGCTTGGCAAGATGGGTATAGAGTTCTGGGTCCACCTTGGGTAGGTTGCCCTCAAAGATCCTTGAACTTCGCGCAAGCATTGGTGTGTCTTTGGTTATAGATCCAGTCTCGGCCGGCGCGTAGAAAGACTTGGCTGTCTGCATGATGATGGAGAAAAGCATATGCGTGTCGTGCTCAATGTATCCAGAGTCGAGCATCTCGGCCAGAGTGTGGTCCATTGCGCCAGTCTGCTGGCCGGCCACGTCTATGGCATCTCTCTCCACGACCCACAGCAGCGGCGCAAGTATCTCATGCATGCCTTGGCGATATCCTATGTCAGGATGCATCTTGCACCACACGAACAGTATGTCCAACATCATGGTCTGCGTCGCGGGCTGGCGGAAGTATACATTGTCGGGCATACATCGTTCGATATCCTGGAATATCTCGGCGCGAAGTTCTTCGTCGGCGCGGAGGGCTACCCATGGTGACTTTTAACGCTTAGTACTTGTCAATAAGCGACACGTCTCGATGGCAGCGGCCGGTCGTGGGTGCACACACCTCTGATAGTTCGCTCAATGGGTCTACGGAAGACTCGAATTCGTCGGGGTTATGTATGGCGCGGAGGTAGTGCGATCGCAGGGACTGGTATGTCTTGCGCGCATGGCTGAGATGGGTAGGCCATGACGAGCGGTCAAGTGTCTTGAAGACAAGGAATATCTGACCTTACTGTGAGCGATGGAGGGGAAGAGGGGTAGGTCGGACCGCACCTTCCAGCAGACGGAGCGGAGTCCTGCGGTGATCTGGGGTTCCTTGTGCGCCGATACGTGGATCTTGAGGTCAGTCAGGGAGTGGAAGTCGTCGAGCTGCCGCCAGTGCTTTCTATGCGATGTCAGGATTGGGACCATGGGCAAGGACAGGCATGACGCACTCAGCTTCAGATACGGAGCGCATGGTGGAATATTACAAAGAGGGGTGTGAGTACTGTGTCGGCAACCCAAGCACCCTGTTGGTAGCTCGGCGCCGTGATGCAATCGCGCTCGGCGGGGCAACTCGAGCCGACGACGTCACGTGGCACATGAGACATCACCTGGAACCATGGGAGACTCGCATGAGTTCATCGCGACCGCGTCAGCTAGGGTGCTGCTTGCGAACGCGTTGCTAGGTCACGTCTGTAGTCAGTGTCAGGGTCTGCTGCGAGTTTGGTCGGTTGCCAGAGGAAACAAGAATAGATCACGACGTCACAGTAAAACTATGATACGGATACGATAACGGTACAGTGTAGCATCGGACGATAGCGTCTAACACAGTCAATAGCTTCGTTCGTGGTAAGTTTCTAGATTTTCTAAATGCATCGCACGCTACGTTCGCTAAGAACGGGATCGCAAGTGGATAAGAGAACGATTTAGTTTACGATGCAGCATCTTCGGCTGAATGCCAATGGCGGCGCGGGAAGTCGCATACGCCGTGTGGCGTAGACTATTCGTACGAGGGATGCAACAGGAACGAGAACGAGCTCTGGCCTATCGAACCAAATTTGGCTCGTTGTTCTCAGCTGCCTCCGGGGCTGGGAATGTCGGCATCGTCGGAGATCTTGGCAGTGACCAAGCGAACTTGCGATGATCGACAATGTTTTGGCTCGGCACGGCTCACTCTTTCTTCGCTGGGGGCACGGCGTTCCGCTGGCCCTCGATGACGAGCCTGTCCATGAGGCCTGGGGCTAGAATGTCCTGGCGGAAGCGCTCCTGCTGCAGCAATTCCAGTGCACGCAGCGTGGGGCCGGGGTGACTGCGCCGACGGGGTCAGTAAGCAGGCGGTGTGAGGGGCGGCGAACATACTGCAAGAATCTGGTGTACTTTGGGTCTTTGAAGTACTGCAGGTAGCCGAGGTATGCGACAAATTCGGGCTTGTCGAGCGTCTTTTGCTGGGCCAGGTAGTTGAGATAGACGGGATTGGCAAGGCACTGGACAAACTAGGCGCGTGTTAATGAAGGTCAAACAGGGGCTAATGACGACGCAGTATAGGGGAATTGCGGACCTCGAGCTCGAGCTCAAAGCGCGAGTAGCCTCCCACGCCCGGGACATGTTGCGCCGTCTCGTGAGCCATGGCTGGAGTCTCGGACGTTTGACAGCTGACGGTGCAGAGTCGCGATGGGAGCGGCGCTTGCAGGTCACGCTGAGGCTGAAGAAAAGCAGTACAGGGTCTTCCCCGCAATTGCCAGGTTGTGTAGAGTCGGCAGCTAATCCAGTTGGGTAGATGAGGCGGGCTAAGGATCACGCACTTGCACAAACAGGTGCAAGGACGGCAGGGTTGATGAGCTTGTCGTCGACGATGGCGGTGGGATGTACGCAGTGATGGAGATAAGTTGTTGGCGCTGGCTACGGAGAGGCGGTGTTTTGGGATTCGTTGAGGCGGCCTCTACCAGACGTGTATCATGCTCTGCGCGCGCACTCTGCAGGCGGCCGACACAAACAGAGGGCGTCCAGCGCAGCCAAAAGCGATGTACATCGATGTCCAATGCCCCTGCGCTGCCGTGCACGTGCAGCTCGGGCCTTGACCCCACAGCGTAGCGGATTGGCACCCTGAGTTGCCGTCTAGACAGTCTTTTCCGGGCCAAAGTGGCTGCCCAGGAGCGTTCTGGGAAGCTCGTGATCGGGCGCTCGAATCACAGACAGACGGCGCCACGGAACCACGCACCCACGGTTTTGCGGTTGCGGTAAACACGAGGCCCAGCCCAGCGCCCTCTAAAAGCCTAGCTAGGCCGCGCTTGCCTACACCTCCCTCTGCTCCCGCCTCCTGCCTCCTGTGCATTAATCACTGCCATTGCCATTGCCATTGCCATCACCCTCACCATCACCTGCTTTTGCTTCCTCTCACCACGCTCACCCACGCCCAGCCCCCGCGCATTGCTGTCCTGTATTCCATAGGCGTTGCATAGACTACTAACGGGCCTCAAACACCAGCCCATCAAACACGCGCCCCGCCCGCCTGTCGCCTGCCCGCCAACGGGGCCCGTCTATCCTCAGCGCGAAACACAGCAGCATCGGTACCGCCAGTCTTAGCAAAAACCGCGCCCCTATTGCTGCTTCTGCCGTAGGCGAGGCGCGCAGGAACAGGATTGCCCGCCGTGCGTCACCAGCCAGCAGTTGCACAAAGCACGCCTGTCGTCTCCCGCGGCGCCAGTGTTTGATTGGGCCGCCCAGCAGGGTTGTGAGCAGCAGACGGCATCATGTTTGCAGAGCCGTCAATGCCAGGTAAGGCTGCTCCTGAATTTGCCTGTTTCACCGAGACTTGGGCTGTGACGAAATAGGACGCGCCGCTGATCATATTGCTTATCTACAGAAAGGCGACCCTCGCCAGGCCTGCAGCTCAACCTCTCCTCCAACAACCCCTTCCGCCGCGCTGCCTCTCCCGGTTTCCCCTCGCCCGCCAGTGCCAACCGCTCGAGCTCGGGCAGCAGACCAATGTCGCGCAATCCCTTTATATCTACCTTCGAGGCCGAGTTTAACAAGGAGGCATCCAGAGACCTCGTTGACATGTCGGCCACCATGAAGGACTCTCCCAAGAAATCAAACTTTGGCTTTGCCGCCGAAGAGCTCTTTGTACGTTCCTCCCCCTTGCAGGCCAATCGCCCGTGCCGTGACGGCTGCCAGCGCCGTCACGTCGTGCAAGCCGCGCACGCTGCACGCTGTAGTAAAATGCGGTGTACTCTCTAGCTACACCACCGCCATTGAGCCATCAACATGGACCGCTTCAGGCGCTTTGTGATGCAGTTCGCTGACTATCCTGCCCTTACCCAGGCCAACCTCACCATCGACGACACCGATAAGAAGCGAGCTCCCCCGCCGCGACCTGCCCCTGCTCGCAGCGGCACCGACCCCCGTGCAGGCCACCGTCCCTCGCGCTCCGAAGAGGAGAGACAGCGCATGCGGGAAGCTTCTCGCGGAGGCTCTCGACCACGTGGACCGCCCAGCTCGTCTCGCCCTCCCCAGCTCAACAGCCCTGAACGCCGCGAGAACCGCCGCCCCCGACGCAACTCCGAATCCTCCATCATCGACCGAGGCTCGCTCGACCCGCGTGAAGAGCGCAGGCGCAGGGAGCGCCGCAAGGAGCGCGAGGAGCGTGCTAGAGACGGCAAGGACAGCAAATCTGGCGGCAAGAAGGTCCGCAGGCCGCAAGGTCTTGATCTCATTGACAAACTCGATGTGACTGGCATCTACGGACCTAGCATGATCCACCACGATGGACCGTACGACGCTGTGCAACCCCACCGCAACCGTAAGAAGGACCAGCGCGCACCCATGCATGCTTTCCCCGTCGGTTCAGCCAACAACACTTTGGGCGGTTCTGGACCTCTGAACACAAAGATCGATCTGGACAGGATCCATGGCAGGGGTGCCGAGGGCTTCACCGACTTTGCCGGTGCCGAGACCGAGTGGAAGAAGCCAGCCCCAGTGGCCGCAGAGTTCAGCGCAAAGGGCCGAGAAGACATTGTACACGGCGAGCAGACCCATGGTCTTGGAACATCCACCTTCCTCGAGGGTGCCCCGGCTTCCCGCAAAGCGATTCAAGAAGAGTCCGATGCTCAGAGGCAGAAGCAACTAGCGGATAACGGTCTCGGTCGCAAGAAGTCCATCGCCCAGCGATTCCGCGGTATCTCTCAGCCCCGTCGTTACGGTGACGGCCCACGCATTACTTCGCCCGAGGCACGTTACGGAGCTGCCACCAGCCCAAGCGGCCCTTACAGCGCCGGAGCCATCTCGCAGACCAAGGCCGCAGAGCAGAACCCATTTTTCAGCGACGACTACGACAAGGCCTACGACGCCAAGGGCGCAGCCATCAAGACCAACGAGGGCGGAGCTTCACCACCTCGGGGCGCTGCGCTGCAACGATCCATCACGACCGACAGCGTAGGGTCTCCCACAGGCGAGGCCAAGCCCAGCGGTGGGTTCCTCAACCGCGTCAAGTCTCTCAAGGGCGGACGTCGACGTCCCGCTTGAGAAGTCACAGGCATGGTTGAAATGATTCGACCACTTCACCTATCTTCCCTCTGAGCGGCTGAAGTCCATCTCGAAGGACATTAAAGACACGATGTATATCGCGCTACGGCGACGACTGCAGCCAGCTTATTTCTCCTATCGTCACACACCTCCCTTCGGGACATACACTTTCCTTCCGTCTGGCGCTGGAGTCGTTGGTGCTTGAAAGCACGAGGTCTGGATACCACTCATGTGTAACAGAACTCAGGCACGCTTCAACAAGATCAAGAAGGCTCTTCCTTCTTCAAACCACCAGCTTCAATTTTTTCAATCGAGTCACTTTTTCCTTTCAATGCGCAGAAATTAGGCTACTTGCATAGCTCTTATAACACATCAAGTTTGCGATAGTTTGGGGATGCGAGGCGTAGAATCTGTAGCTAGGAATCAAAATTTGCAAACATCAAGATACCATACCATCGGAACTCTACACATGTGATGCCGTTTATTTGCCTCCGTTGATCGCCATCTAGACCCGCTCGATGTTCAGGGGCATCCGATTGTTCCTGGCGTCCGCTGGGATCGTCCTTGACGCGTTCCTGTCGCCCAATCAACCCCCACTCGAGCTTACTGCCCAATCCTTGAGGGGCGGACCATGACGCCGCAGCTGCGTTGCCCCTGGCACATGACCTGAGGATCTATCGCCGACATCAATGCTCTCAGCCGCACGCCACGACGCCAGCACTAAGATCTGCGGCGCGGAAGTTTGGATCGCAAGCCACCACCGTATTTCTCCAGTAAGATCTTCGATGCCACGTTTCGGCGAGATATTTGCCTAGTGTCGGCTAGTCGATTGGGTGCTGGTGCGTTGCTGTGGAAGAGGTTAGCTGCGATGCGTGTCTGCGGGCTGATAGGCGTTGATTGATGCCTCAGGTTTGGGTTGAACATGTGGTGCATACATAGGCTCAGGATTTTGTAGAGCTAGTACATGACGTGGGTGCATCACTTCGTTATTTGGTACGTGAAGAAGGATGGAAGTGCAGGTGCTGCTCTTCTTTGACCAAGGCCTGGCGCGTCGAAACAGCGATGGGTCTAGTATTCAGCAATGTCGAAGAGATTGCTATATGCACGTGATTCTGGTCGCCACATCGTTTTCGTTGTCTGTCGATTTGTCTCCAGATGGACGAACAGTACGTAGAATTGTACGTTTTCAACAAAGGTTGCACCTTCCTCTATTCCATCTCGCGCTAGCGCTTCTCTTTCCGAATGCGGTTCCGACAAGGCTGCACCATTACACTCACAGTACCGTACCTCACCATCGTACACCAAATAGCGATATGGCTGCCGCTCAACTAGCTCTTGATGGGTTGAATATATCAGCAAGACCCGCAGAGCCGTTGCTCGCATCCCAGTTGATTGGTGACCAAGACCTTGATGAGCTGCTCGAGAGCGTGTGCAATGTTAATCTCCAGCATCAACATGGCGTTGCAGGGAACGTACTACAAACTGGGGTCAAAAGCTTGGACGATGCTTTCGGCGGTGGGATACAGAGCGGAAGAGTTGTAGGAGTCAGTGGAGAAGCTGGGACGGGTGGGAGTGACGTGAGTATCCCAAGTCTGGATATCGAGCAACAATACATCACGAAGGAGTTCTAAGACAAAAGAGCTACAAACTAACGCTTTTAGATTTGCTGCACCCTGCTTGCGAGCTCTCTTCTTCAATACGAAAAGTCGACGGCTGCTGTGATTGACACCACTGGCAACTTCGATGTACTACGACTTTACACAATGATCGCCGCTCAACTGTCACGACGACCAGATGTCCAAACGTCCTTGCGCTCATCAATAAACCAGGGGCCTGAAACTCCAACTGAGGATCTAGCAGCAAAGGTACTTGACCGTGTCAAGATTATGCGTGTGTTCGATTTCGTGGGTGTGAGAGAGGCCATGGTTGAGATCCGGGATGGGATCGAAAAGAAGAAGGATGCTGAACGTGCTTCAAGTACTGAAGAGAAGAAAGCGAATTTACCCAATGAGGAGCCTGCACGGGAGGAGCCGCCCGTCGAGAAGGAGCCAGTGAAGCGAACTTATGTTGCAGACAGCGAAGACGAAGAAGACGACGAGGAAATGTTATTCGATTCAGATGTTACCGACACAGCAGCGCAGCCTGTACAGAATCCAGAGCCAACCCGGATCGAGTCTGCAGAAGACACAAATGCAAAGGTTGTATCGGGACCCATCAAGATCGTTCTGATCGACAACCTCGCTCAAGTCCTCAACCCTTTGTTAAAGAAAGACTATATACAAGGTATTTATCATTAGATCCCAGCTCTAACATTGACTGACCAGCCCCAGCAAACGCAGTAGCAGCCACGTTCCTCACAACGCTCTCAAACCTCACAAAAGCCCACGCACTCCACACTCTCCTCATAAACCCAGCTCTCCCTCCACGCGCTTCCTCACCAAAACGCCCTGCACCACAACATCAGCTAGGCCCTCTACCTCCGCAACAGCGGCGAGAGCCCCCACTTCCACCTTCTATCTTCGCGAGTAACGATGTTGTACCGAATTTGGTGCATTTACTAGGACGATACATGGATATGGAGGTGTTGGTGAGTCGGCTCCCGAAACGGAAGATGGATGCGAAAGTGTGCTACAGTGATCCTGGTGGGAAAGGGACGAAGCGAGGTGTTGAGATGGTGAGCGTGCTGGAGGTAGTGAGGGATCGTTGGGGAGGAAGGACTGGTGCGTGGGGCACTTTTCGTGAGAGCAAAGATGGTATCAGAGATATTTGAAGTGTGTTCAATGTCAAAATATGAATCTAGGATGCTGATGCAGAGGCTTCTAGGGAAAAGTCGTCGTCACCAGTATTTCTTACCCATCCCTTCAGTGCTTTGCGTATGTCATCTTTGACTTTGACCCTCTCTTCCAGCCCTTCCGACCTTTTCAGCTCCTCATACGTTTTCTTGCGAAGCGCCTCAGTAGCCGCCACCGCTCCACCTAGCAATCCTGCTAAACGAACAGCTTCCATCCATAATCCTTTCCGACATATCCTACTTGCTCCCCGAGGGTCTAGTTGTTTCCGACCCTGCAGGACACCGCCGATCAAGGTCTCCTGCCAGCCTGGTGTCCACACAGCGGAGAGATTACTGGGCACCGCTTTTTCGGTGGCAGACAATGCGCGGCGCGACCATGTGAACTCGCGGGTTGTCGGGAGAATATTGAACGATTGGAAACGATAATCGCCTTTCCACTCCGTGGTATGCTTTGGGTCGAGATTCTTGAGTCGACCGGAGGAGGAAAAGGCTCGTTCGCATGCTTGTGGTACGTATTGGGAGTTTGGTAGAACCAATGTCTCCAAGTAAGCATTCCGAGGACTGATTAGTAGAGATGATGTAGATGACAGCAAGGAGGTAGCTTGTTTGACTGCCAACTTGTCGGTGCAAGATTTGCTCAGCGTAGGCGGGGCATCAGGTCGCGAAGGCTTTGCGCGGACAATGCCTAGAAGAGAAAAGTTCGATCGACCTCGAAGAGCCAGAGTCTCTACTTGGTCAGTTGCATCAGATACGGTAGATAGAGTTGGTGGTGCACTAGTCCACGGCGTTGCATCTTCCTGCGCAGCCATGGTGAGCTCCATACTGGCATCTCCACAGGGAGTTTCAGAGCAATACATGTGAATGGACACATCTTCTCGGATGGTGAATGGCTGGCGTAGACTTTCGGGATGTTCATCAGGCGACAGCCGCCGAAGGAAGTCGGATGCTGGATAAGGCGGCGTCGAGATGAGAATGCATTCATCTAGAAGGTATCGGTTGAAGGCTCGGAGCGCTATGACTTCGGCGTGCCAGTCGTGGAGGATGTTGCCGTGTGCGAGGGGTAATTTGTTGGAGGGGAGACATTTCATGCCAGTTCTAAGAGAGGTTCAGCTGGTGTCACCGTCCATGGCTTCTTTCAAAAGTCGATAATTTGAACGAGCATATCGTAGCAGTTTTGAACACAGTAGATTCCGAGTGATCAAGGAGCTTCGCTTCCTCAGTGGGGCAATGTTGCCCCTGCCGTCTGAGGTGTATGCGTGGTGTCACACCCGGTAAATCACTGGACTACACGATACCCGTTGAAGAGACAGTCTTCGGAGGTCGGCTGATGGAAATGGCTCACCCTAATGATACGCATGATAGAGCGCCACCTTGACTGGGTCATGAGCATAAGCAAGCATAGCTCCTTCCGGAAGCAAGTGAGCGATTACCTTTAGATAAGACGATTCCGGCGAGGGGTACCCATTCCCTTGCGCCATCGTGGCGGGGTCTCGGCTTCCGCTTTTCAGGTAGCTGAGCAAAGGCCCGGAGCACGCAGTCTGCGATGGCATCTGCGTCGGCGTCTGCAGCCATGGCAGTGAAGCGAGGTGGTGGGTGAAGGAGCGAGGGCGCGGTTGGGGCTCGGAGCATCCGGGGAGCCAGGCACGTCAGGGTCCATTGTTACCTTCGCAGTCGCAGACCATCGCTCCTGCTACTCAGTCACAAAGAACCCTGTCACACGCTCAGCGCGAGTGAGACCCAGACTCCTTCACCTCCCCGTATCGCCTTGTTCCTACTCTTCTCTTCTCAACATGCAAGCGTTTGGTGAGCAATGGCCGTGCGCCGCACCGTCGCCTTCGCGACTCAGACACTCACAATCACAGTACCCAAGAACCGACGAGTAAGACTGGGCCAGCACCTCAAAGTTACACGGGCTGACATTTGCGCAGCCAAAATTTGATCTACACCTACGAGTGAGCTATCCATACACAGGCATACGACCACACTCTGACAACAGCAGATAATCGACCTCAACAACGTACCACTCGTTTCTGGCACCTCGTTCATAAAATGGCACCTCTCCCACTCCACGGCCGCCGAGCACCGCGGTCGCACAGATAGCTGCCAAGTCAAAGACCATAAAGTCGCCTACAACTACGACATCACCCTCCCCGTCCGTCTCACCGTCGACAAGAATGGCATGCTGCAGGAGTGTTATGTCGAGTTGGAGGTTGTGCAAGAATACGGCCGAGGCTCAGGAAGAGGCGAGCGCATCACATTAGGAACTGTTAAACTCAACCTGGCCGAGTACGTGGAGCAGAGCGAAATGGCGACCATCGCGGGCGAAGAACCAGGCGTCACGAGGAGGTACCTCATGCAAGACAGCAAGATCAACAGCACGCTCAAGGTCGGAATTTATATGAAGCAGACGGAGGGCGACAAGAACTTTGTCGCGCCGGCCTTGAAGACTGCGCAGGTCTTCAGTGGCATCGCTGGTATCATGGCGGGAGAGCAGGCCGAGCTCGAGGACCACGGAGGTAGGACACTCTGAACTACACACTGAGCTCGTGCTAACGCCTACAGCTGCGCCCTCCCTGACGAGCAAATCCCGCGAAGCCGGCGAGCTCCAAGACATGTACAGACGCACACTTGCCGCATACTGGTCCGCACAACCCGGCGAGCTCAAGGCAGACGAATGCATCGAAGACATATTCGCTGGCGGAGACGGATGGGGCGACCGCGAGAAACCATACTCCCAGCAGCCACGAGCTCAGCCCTTGCGATTCGCAGCAGGCGATAGCAGCAGCTCTGTGAGTGAGAGCGAACACGGTCACATGCGCGGCGGCAGCAGCGCTCATCGCAAGTCGCATGAGACGCTGCGCCCTGGAGATATGAAATCGAATCACTCGCCTAACGTGCGGGGCCGGGGAAGTTTGGAGCAGCAGGCATCGCAGATGAAGGCAGAGGCGGCTCGCAAGCGACATCGTCCACACCATGAGGTAGATGAGTTTGACCTGCGCGAAGATCTTTGCAGCTGGCGTCGTCCAACTTGAAGTTCAAAAGGTGCCACTGAATGCAAATTCCTACATTTAATATTGAACCCTGAAGTAATGCTCGCGGGCGTCGCACTATGACGCGCCTCACACGTGAAAGCGCGATGGCAGAATTAGGGCGGTCACGAAAGTTGGAGCACGCATCGCACTTTCCGAGCCCGTCGCTGCCATCCTCATTGCACTTTTTCCCCGCTTCGTCCTCCTTCATGCTTGCGCCCCGGACCTCGAGTGCATTTGTATGCCTCCGATGTGAAGCGCAAATTGCCCGACGGCGACTGCCCGCTTTTCCTCGCCCACCATCCCGAGCCAGGTTTTCTGCGTCTGCACGCCGCCGCGGTGATGCTGAAGACGAGCAACCACCGCCTCTGAAGATCACAAAACAAGTGACGCCGATCAATCGCCTGAGGAAGAGGAAGGGAGAAAAGATCCTACGAGAAACTTCGCAAGATCTGGGCGTCAAGCGATTGGGCGACGATGCCGATATCTTGGTCCTGAGGGAAGTCGGAGAACCAGCACAAAGAGAAGCCACCACAACCACCGAAGCCTCCGAAGATGCCGAAGTAATCGAAATCTCCGAACCTCTCGAGGTCCCAGACATTCTTGCCTCAATCGAAGAAGAAGGGAAAGCGCTCGCGCCGGAAGAAATATACAAGCAGATCGAGACCTTGCGACCGAACAACGATGGCGACCCCAATGAGCCGCATCACGTCAAGCAGACTACGTTTGTCAAGCTGAGAAAGAAGCTCATGAAAGGCTTCACGCAACAGCAATTGATAATCTTCTACTCGGTCGCAAAGAATATACGGCAAGAGAAGGTCAATCAGGGAGTGATCGACAGCATCAAACGGAAGGACCAACTAGGAAACGAGAAGCAACCTGTGGAGCGATCAGAATGGCAGCCAGGTACTACGCCGATAACTCAACGCCTGCCTGGCGTTGATCGTATTGTCAAGATCATGGGCTACCGCAAGAACGTCAGCAAGCAACTGCTTGTTGATCGCATAATGAGGGATGTTTGGAATCTCGTACTCTTGGAAGAAATCGAATCCCCCGGAGAGCTAGAGCTTTCTCTGCAACCGTGGCAGGTGATGCTGCTTAAGGCTGGTGGCACGTACTATAGCATCCTTAATCGTGGATCTCGCTAACATGCCTGCAGACAAAGACACCCTTTTTGACAAGATTCGACGGACCCGACGAGTGAGGCTCGACATGTACAAACCGGATAACGCCCTCCGCATCACATCCGATAAGACGACAGCAGAGTACGCTGCCAATGATATCGAGGAAGCCTTCCAACACACTGAATTGAAGCGGATGAACCTGAACAACTATTTACGCCAGCTAGCAAATGGTCCTGTTGCGTTGGATTCAAAGTCCAATCTGGTAACTTTGTTTTATACACAGAAAGACTTTGATGTCGTCTCGGCTCTGACTCGCACGAGTATTGAGGCAGTCGGCAAGTCTATGGTATGCA